TCGTTTGGGCCGGAATGTTGGCCTGGCGGCTCCGTTGCCGCCGTCGCTGCCCCGTGGCCTCCCCGCATAGGTTGCCAGGGTTCTGCAGGTCGCATCCGATTCTGCCCCACCGTGCACCTTGCAACCAGGCATTCGTGCCATCCTCGTGGTGGGGACCCTTCTCGCCCCCCATCAGCACGGTCAAAGCAGGCCATGCGCGCGCACTTGCTTATCGCAACCCATTGGCTTCCAAGGGCTCCTCGCAACACATGGGGCAGAATCCACGCGCGGGCGGCGTCGCGCGCGCATATGCCGAAGCCGTTCCAAGACTTTGGGCCTCGTGAGGATTCCGAGACTGGAGTTTCCGAAACCATTTTTAACAATGGTGTTTCAACCGGACTGTCGAAACACGGCGCGCGCTCTTGCGAATTATCCAGGTAAGATATTTTTCTCAAGGTTTTCGTCATGCAACCAAGCGGCCCCCTTTCGCGCGCATGTCGAAATCATTCGATCGCCCTTGCTCGCCTACTGGTGGGAGGGGGGAGACGATCCCCGTCAAATATCACCATACGGGCCACTCGCACGCATCGGCCGCGCGCGCATGCCGAAATCCTTCCAACACCTCCATCACCGACGCGTTGACATCATCATCTTCATCGGCATGATCAGCATCGGCGCCGTCATTGGCCTCGCCGTCGTCACCGTCATCATCGTCACCGTCATCGCTACTATTAAGTCGGGCCTGTCCCTCTACAGGAGGAATGTTCAACAATACTCAAAAAATAGCCAGGGGATAATTGTTTGACTATTTTTGAATATTTTTCGAGTATCGTTTGAGTATTTCTTAATTTCGTCCAGAATCCGTCTGTAGGGGGACATGCCCGACCTAACGCTACTATCATCAGCGTGTCTGCCGTTGTCGACGTCGCCAGGATATCGCGCCACCGAGTCACCGACTCGCACTGAAGTGCCTGCGCGTCAGCGCGGCTTGCGAGACGCGCTGGGAAGTCCCCAGCGGTCCGTGCCACCGCGGCCGCGTCGGTCGCGCCAAGCTAGCAGGCCGCTTTATGCGCGAGCTTTCGCGCGCTAGCGCGGCCGAACCGATGCGCCAGCCAGAGCCGAACAGTCATCGCAGTCGCCGCCGCAGTGGTTTCGCACGCCAAATTCTAGACGCTTCGCGTAACCCCACCAGCGCACGTTTGCAGCTTCTTGACAGCCCAAGCAGCTTGCAGCCACCACCCTCGGCGCTGTTTCTCAGCCTCGGCGGCTGCAGCACGGCCCCCGGCGCAGCTGCCTCCCCCTGCGGTAGGTCCTGCTTTCTTTTGCGCGCGCGCCGGCAATGAGGTCTTGTGGCCCGAGCCGACTCGACTCGCCGCTGGCGCCTTCGCCTGCGGCTGCGACAAAAAACCCCACCAGCCACCGGCCCGGCCCGCCGTAGCACGCTCGGCGTTCGACCCGTTTCGCGCGCCCGCTAACCAGAAGTAGCCCCACCAGCCCATCCAGAGACGATGCCCAGAGGATTTGCTTCGATCAGGTAAGTGGGCAGCACGCAGATGAAGGGTCCCTCTTGGAGCGCTCTTGGGACACTCTTGGGCGCCCTTGGGGCCGTCTTGGGGCTCTCTTGGGCCTTTCTTGCGTCTTGAGAGCCTCTTGGCGGTCCCGGGGGTCTCTTGGAGCGTCTCGGGGGGCCTTTTGGGGCCTCTTGGGGGTCTCTTGGGAACCTCTTGGAGGCCTCTTGGGCGCCTCTTGGGGTCTCCTGGGCGCCTCTTGGGGCCCTCTTGAGGCGCTTTGGGAGCCCTGGGGGCGCTCTTGGGGCCATCTTGGGGGACATCGATCAAACAAGAGGGGAGCATTAATTAATTGGCGTTGAAAGGTCGCCTCTTGGGGCGCTCTTGGGGCGCTTTGGAGCGCTCTTGGGCCCTCTTGGGGCCGTCTTGGGGCTCTCTTGAGCCTTTCTTGGGCCCCCTTGGCCCATCTTGGCGCCATCTTGACGGATGGCCGTCGGAAGCGAAAAGGCAAGAAAGCAAAAAACATGGATTGCTCAAGGTTTTGGAAGGATTTTGTCCTCTTCGGGGCCTCCTGGGGGAGCCCTTTGGCCATTTGGAGCCGTCTTTGAGCGGTCTTGGGACCTCTTGGAGCATCTTGGGAGCCATCTTGAGGTATCTTGGGGTATTTTGAGCCCTTTTGGAGGTCATCCTGGGCTTTCCCATGCGCTCTTGGAGACATCTGAATCAATGCCCCCCCTAACATGTGGCCAAAACCGTGGTACAATACATGATTTTGACACTCTCGCCGAGGCCGCTTGGGGCGTCTTGGGTGCCTCTGGTGGGCCTCTTGGGGCCTCTTGGGGGTCTCTTGGGGGCCTCTTGGGGGTATCCTGGGGGCCTCTTGGGGGCCTCTTGGGGGCCTCCTGGGCACCTCATGGGGCTCTTTTGGAGTTTCCTTGGGAGCCTTCGGGACCATGTTTGGGCCGTCTTGGAGGACATCGATCAAACAAGAGAGGAGCTTTAATTAGCGGGGCCTCCCAAGAGGCCCAACATTGGGTCCAAACCCTAGTTAAACCAGTGATTTTGGCTTCCTCGCCGAGGCCGTTTTGAACGCTCTGACACCTCGCGACCAGCCCCGTCCAGGTCCATTGGAGGGGGTAGGAGGAGGGGTAAACCCCTCCCCGAAGGGGAAGAGGGGCAGATGGAAGACAAAACACCCTCGACCACCTACGCCCTAATAGGCTGGTGGAATTGCGGGTGGTTAGGTGGGATGATTGCGCGAGCAGTGGGGCTGACAATCCCACCAGCCCTTTAGGGGACGAAGATGCGATGCAGGAGAATGGCGGCAAGAAAGAGGATCAGGGATTGCAAGTTGCAGTAGATAAAGGAGATAAGCAGCGAGGGAGAATGAGGCAACAGGAGAGGAGACGCACAATGAGAAACTAGCATGTGCAGCATGAGTAGGAGAAGTAGGAGCGGGAGAGAAACGAATGCAACTTCTCTTGACAGGCGTTGTCCAGGTGTATCTTTACATAAACACGCATCTATCTACATATGTGTATACTGAGATATCTGTATATATTTACATAGTCCTCTCGCTTCGCGGCGTGCACGTCCGGAGCACGCACAATCCAGTCGCTGTGGGCTTCTCTGGTCCGACCGCTAGGGTCAGCCCTTGCACCCGCCTGGCGGAGTCCACCCCGATCGGTTGTTTGCGAGCTTTTCCCGTCCGTTTTGGATGTTCCGCCGCCCCTCCCGCCAGTGAGGGTTCGCGCGCAGAACCACCTATTAGGGGCCGCCCGCCAGGTTCGCCCAATATGGTACGCCCGCTCTACTCCTGCTCCGACTCCCTTCTCTGCTTTTTTGATCGAGCTGGTGTTTTCGTCCTCCTTGCTCGTTCCCTTCCCCTCCTCCCTGAGGGGAGGAGGACGAGGCCTGCTGATGATGATGCTGCTGCTGATGATGATGATGATGATGATGATGATGATGATACTGATGATGATGATGATGATGATGATGATGATGATGATGATGATGATGATGATGATGATGATCATGATGATGCTGATGATGATGATAGTCTTAGTGAAGATGATGATGCTGATGATGATGTTGATGATTATGATGATGGTGATGGTGAAGGTGAAGACGACGACGATGACGATGATGACGGTGATCTTGATGATGATAATGATGATGCTGATCAGGTTGGAGGTGGTGGTGATGATGCTGCTGATGATGCTGAGGATGATGCTGCTGCTGATCATGATGATGATGATGCTGATGATGAGGATTATGGTGGTGGTGGTGTTGATGATGCTGATGATGTTGATGACGATGATGATGCTGCTGATGCTGATAATGCTGATGCTGATGATCATGATGATGCTCATCATGATGATGCTGATGATGATGACGATGATTTTGATGCTGCTGCTGCTGACGATGATTATGCTGATGCTGCTGCTGATGATGATGATGCTGATGCTGATGCTGATGCTGATGCTGATGCTGCTGCTGATGATGATGATAATGATGATGATGACGAGGACGATTATGATGATGATGATGATGATGATGATGATGATGATGATGATGATGATGATGATGATGATGATGATGATGATGTGGTGATGGTGATGGTGATGGTGATGGTGATGATGATGATGATGATGATGATGATGATGATGATGATGATGATGATGATGATGATGATGATGATGATGATTATTGGAGGAGGAGGAGGAGGAGGAGGAGGAGGAGGAGAAAGAGGAGGAGGAGGAGGAGGATGACCAGGAGGGGGGAGCAGGAGGCGGAGGAGGAGGAGGAGGAAGTGGTGGAGGAGGAGGCCAGGACCTGGGTCCCAGGACTTGCTTTCCTGCTGTGACGCAGCGAGTAAAGGAAGGAGGGTGGCAATGGGTGACCATAAATTTGGCATCCAGATAGGCATATGGGTGGGGTTCCCGGGGGGCACGGGCGTGCACCCGATGGGGATCTCTCCGCGCAAAGTCCCCTAGATGGTCATCCAGATGGGCATCTTGACGACACAGGCGATGGGTAGATGATGGACATTCTTGGGGGTAGAGGATGGGGATTTAGATGGACATCTGAGGGGCATATTCCTCCACGGGGATGGGCATCTCGATGGGCGTCTGATGAGCACCTTTGCGGAGAGCGCCTAGGCATCAAAATGGGCATTTCTCTTGGGCATCGTTCCAGCGTGGTGATAGGTGATAGGCATCTAGATGGGCATTTGATGGGCACTCCAGACGGGAATCTCTTGGGCGATTGTTGTGATTTTTCTCCAAGATGATGGGTATCCAGATGGGCATCTGATGGGCATCCTTGGGGGCAGAGGACGGGCATTTATATGGGCACTGATGGGGCTGCACAGGGCATTCCTTTCAAGTTTCCCATTGTAAGGTGCGAGGGGTTCACTACGTCTTCTCTGGCTCGAGTTGTTGGTTCTGATATCCAACGCAACACATCGCAACATATACACTTGACGCGCTCCCGGCGAACTTTGTCGTCAGCATGACGTTCTCCGGAGTCCTGGCGATCATGATGTTGCTGGGCTGCGCCAGAGCCGCGCAACTTGACATGGAGGAGCTTTCAAACGCGACGGGATGGATTAAAATATGTCAGATCCAGGATGGTAGCAGAGGTTCGTATTCCTTTCCTTTGACAACAGGAGCTTATGGAAGCATCGCTTCGTCGATTGGCTCAAGCCATGCAAAGTATTCAGACTCGGATATCAACTCAATGGCCGTCGCGCGGGACGGTTATTCGCACGTGTACCAAATCAAGAGCTTAGATTGTTCTTCGTACTTGTACGTCAGGTCGAACGACACGTACGTCGATACATCGCGATCGTTCGGCCTTACACGAAGTAGTACCCGAGTCTGTTTGGCTCCATCATACGAATCCTGTTCGACTTGGGCTACATTACCTTGCACATCACACGGCATTGACCTGCTGTATACGAGCCCTGGCCTCGGTGGTGAGTCATGTTGCCGTTATTTCTTTGGGCATGGACAACTGGATTGTTGGGGTGGCCCCTCAGGTTACCGCTGCGTGAACGGTGGCTCTGACTGCTCCAGCTATAAGAAATTGGAAGATGTAGTGTTTTACGTCTGGGGGGTCAGCGCGGCGACGCCCAGCCCGACGCCGAACCCGACGCCGAACCCGACGCCGAACCCGACGCCGAACCCGACGCCGAACCCGACGCCGAGCCCGACGCCGAGCCCGACGCCATACCCGACTCCATACCCGACGCCGCAACCGACGCCGTACCCGACGCCCTACCCGACGCCCTACCCGACGTCTTACCCGGCGGCGTTCCCGACGCACCGCCCGACGCCCAGCCCAGGGCCCGGCCCGGCGCATCCTCCAGGTTGGATGCCCGTTGTGCCATGGAGATGGTGAGGGATTGAGGATATGAGGATCGCGACGGGGATTAGTGGTGCGGGGGATCGAGCGTGCGACGACGAACGTGACGGATGGCGGGAAGCGAGCAACACGAAACGCAATCAGAAGAGCGGTGCCCTGGCCTCGACGTATAGGTCGATCCCGTTGTCGGGGGCGTCGGGACTTTCACCGCCCCTCGGGCAAGCGACGCGCCCGTATTAGGCGCAGATCTGATTGCGGTAAGGGGGGTCTCCTTTCCTCTCGTCTTCTCTCATCTCCCCTCCCTTCCCCTCTCCTCCCCTCCCCCAACCACCCACCTCCTCCTCCTCTCCTCCATTCCCGCCACCCTCCGACTGTACCCTCCTGGTATCGCGCGTTTCCTCCTGTGGGATGTTAGCTCGTGGGCGCATGCGTGTCCAATACTGCCCAATATGATGCGACGCCTCGCCCCCATTTGGTACCCCCCCCCTGTCCACAAGGATGTTTGACATGGGTCACCCACGCACATGCGCAACCTGGAGGGATGAATCTCTGAATTGCATGTTGGCTCGAATTGCGGAGCAGTCATCTTACGGCGATTTTGACGAGGGTCTTTGGGGCAGGATTGATCTCCAACGATATCTGGGACAGGGCGCTTCGCGGCCCAAGCACTAGTTGTTCTCCGCCCGTGATGGCGAGAGCGACGTTGGCCGGCACGCTCTTGCTTGTGGGCCTGCTCTCGCCGACGATCGTCGAGGCGACGGTCGACCCACTCGTCGCCGACTTGGCTCTGCAATTCCAGTGGCACCCCCCCGACTTGCCGATTCACGACTTGGCTTCGTTCGCTCTCCGAACGGCGAATTCGCTGTTAGAACAAGGCTCGGATCCAATGACCCGCCCCACCCCTCTAAAGAAAGAGCGGGCCCGAATGGGCCTTCAGACGCGTCGGCACATCGGCGATGCATCGGCAATCTGCCAGCGGTCGACGTCGCGACGGCGTCGCGTCCGGGGCAGTCGTCGGTGCATCGGCGACGCTGCGTGTAATGCTAGGTACGCAGGAGGTGGTGGTGGTGGAGGAGGAGGATTGGTTGGCGGACAAGGAAGAAGGATGAGGAAGAGGGGGAGGACGAGGGCATACGGGGAGGAGGAGCAGCGCGTCCGCACGCGCGAGCAGCGCCAGGAGGGGGAGGATGAGAAGATGACGAGGATGAGGAGGAGGAGACCGAGGACGAGGACGAGGATGGGGGCATGGGGGAACGATGACAAGACGACTACACTGCCCCCCCCAGGCACGTACACGCGGGACCTCCAATTCACTCACATATTCGCTGGTCGGGACGAGCCTGGCAAGGAGATCGCCCGTCGGGGATTCGCTTGCGCCTCGTTCGACGTGGCGCACTGCCAGACTGAGAATTTGATGACGGTGGAAGGGTTTGTCTGGGCCACACTTTTGTGTATGAGGGCGGTGCGTACTGGGATCGTTCACCTTGGGATCGAATGTACATCGTTCTGTTGGCCCTCACGAAACACTTCGGGAAGATCACCCGGCAAAATGGGCGACGACAGGAGGTCATGCGTTGTGGCGGGCAACTGGATGGCATTCTTCATGAGCTGGATCGGGGTCCTTTTGAGCTCCAGGGGCGTGTATTACATGTATGAAAATCTCTGGCGATCGGTAACAGGCGCCATCGTCATAGTGCCGTCGCGGCGGGCCCTCCAGGGTCCAAATGGTCCCTGGGCCCATTCAAATTGCACCCCATCTGGTGCATCTGTATTCACACCCGTGTTACGGATCGCCTGTCATCCTGCGACGTCGTGTCTCGACGCGCACCCGATGATGCAATCGCGGAGGCGGGTATGCCGCCACGCTAGATTCTGCACTTGGCTCGGCGCTTTTTCGCGCAGTCGCAATGCTCGTCCTAAATGCGTGCACCTCTCTACCACGGTACCTGAAGCCGCGGCAAAGAAGTATCTCAAACGCTCGCGCCCTGCCATGGCGACTGCATCTTCCCGCGACAAAGTGTGGACGCTGCACCCCCGTAAGGGATATTATGAGGGGAAGCCTGGATTGAAATCAACGGGCGAATACCCCCCTTTGTTCGGCATCGCCTTCGCCGACATGTTTCAAGCTGTGTTTCAATGCGACATCAATTGAGTGCCGAATTTATCGGGTCGAGGGCGAGCGACAGAGAGAGCAGACAGACGCACAACAGAGAGCACATATGGCATGCAACATTACTACACACAATAACAATGCTGCTCCCCTCCCCTCCCCATGCACCGTCAGGCGTGTATAGTATGTTGCTTGTACCGCAGGCCCCCGCTGCTGGTGGGCATCCCATAGGCGCACAGTGGGCACACTGGAACCGAGGCAGGACGCTTCCTCAGCACCCCTCTACCATTCCCCTGACCTGCCGTGCACGGTTATATCCTCATCATTTATGTATCTCCTCCTGCTCTTCCTCCTCCTTGTCATCATCATCGCCCCCTTCCCCACCCCCTCTTCCCCTCCTCATCCCCTATGTCGTGCCGCCCCATCGTCTGGCCCCGCGTTCTGCTGCGTCGGCGCCCCAACGGGGCCGTTTTCGGGATGCCGCGTTGAAATCTAATTTGGGATCTTGTGGTACGTCTGGGGCCAACTGGACGCGAATGAGCCAAACCTAACGCATCTCGGGCACGTACTCGTTGAGGCTTCGGGTGGGGATCTGGTGGGCCACCGCTGATACATCGCTGGTGCATCGCTGGCGCATCGCTGAAGCATCGCTGACGCATCGCTGACGCATCGCTGATCGTCGCTGCATCGTAAGCGCCGACGCATCGCAGATGCACTTGAGAGGACCTGGCGTGCATGGGCGATCGTCTCCGACGCATCGCCGATGCATCCGGGGTGACCTGTGACGCGGCCGATTGGGCTCGAGTCGTTCATGACAGAGATCCCCGCGGGTACATTTACTATGACTGAGACCAATGCGGAGGTCCTCGCTCGCCTGCGGCAGACTCCGGCTGTCTCGATGCTCTACGGGCAACTGTTCCCGAACGACCCGAACCCATCCCAAGTGTCGAAGCGCCGACGTGCATGTCCTGCAGTTTCTGCCCTCATGGCGCGCACTTTCACGATGGCCGCCCTCTTGGCGCAGCTGATGGAGACAGGGTGGTCTGCAACGTCCCATGATGTCTCTTCTCCCTCTCTCTCTCTCTCTCTCTCTCTCTCTCTCTCTCTCTCTCTCTCTCTCTCCTCTCTCTCTCTATCTCTTCTCTCTCTATATCTCTCTCTCCTCTCTTCTCTCTTCTCCTTCTCTCTCTCTCTCTCTCTCTCTCTCTCTCTCCTCTCTCTCTCTCTCTCTCTCTCTCTCTCTCTCTCTCTCTCTCTCTCTCTCTCTCTTCTCTCTCTCTCTCTCTCTCTCTCTCTCTCTCTCTCTCTCTCTCTCTCTCTTCTCGCTCTCTCGCTCTCTCGCTCTCTCGCTCTCTCTCTCTCTCTCTCTCCCATCCCCTCTCCCAACCACCCTCTGCCGCCTATCCAGTTCCTCCTCCTCTCCTCCTCCACCTCGCCTCTCCTCATCTCTCCTCTCCCCTCCTCTTCTCTCCTCCTCTTCCCCCCCCCCCCTTCCTCTCCTCCTCATCCTTCTCCTCCTCCCTCCCCCCCTCCTCCTCTTCCTCCTCCTCCTCCTCCCCCTCCGTCCTCTTCCTCTTCCTCCTCCTCCTCATCGTCATGCCCCTTCGCCGCTCGTCCCAAGGAGAGTGAGCCGAACGAACCATTCGACTGGAACAGGCTGATGGCGCGCGTGATGGGCACGCATGCGAGCCATGCGGCGCCGACCGAACCATTCGACGAGAACAGGGTGGTCGCGGCCATGATGAGCGTCGGCACTTGCCCCGAGCCCGAGAACCAGGTCGGCGAGCCCGAGAGCCAGGTCGGCGCGAGCAAGAGCAGCGGCCAGCCCGAGAGCCAGGTCAGCGCCCCCCCCGACAGCAAGAGCAGCGGTCAGCTCGAGAGCCAGGTCGGCGCCAAGCCCGACAGCCAGGTCGACGGCCCTCCCGAGAGCCAGGTCGGCGCCCACCCCGAGAGCCATGTCGACGCCAAGCCCGAGAGCCAGGTCGACGCCACACCCGAGAGCCAGGTCTACAACACGCCCGAGAGCCAGGTCGAT